TCGTAGAATAGAGACATAATTAGTGTGCATTAGAGAGTGTCATATTACTTTAAATGTTTAAAAGAAAAACATTCAGGTTAATAACAGCTGGTCAGTGTTTTGGTAAGTGCTATATAGTGCTTTTCTACTCTATTACAGCACTCAGAGCATTCACACGTTCATACAAGTGCATTTTTTACATCTAATGCTTTTAATCTAACATTCACACACTCACACTCCGATATCAGGGGCAATCTGATCAGCAGTTTGGCCAAGGATGCTTTAAAATGCATTCTGGAGGAGCCAGGAATCAAACCACTGACCTTCTGATTAGTAGGCGATGCACTCTACCTCCTAAGTGACACTTGAGACCCCAAGATTAACTCCATCACTGACTCCACCATCTCAACAGCCAGAATGGCCCACTGTGTAGGCTGCAACTGTCTTCAAAGCGGCTTTGGTGAATCAAAACTGCAGTAAAATGGAGTTTGTATGCTGTCAATTTGGAACCGAATGGGGTCGAGTTGGCTTTTACATGCAATCAGTTTATGATCATAATCAACTGTGGAAATTGTTGCATACTTATAAATTCACCTTAACTACTTATATTCCAGCCAGCACCCACAGATTTGAAACTCCAGGAATTTCTCCACAATTAGTGACGTAACTATTGCAGGATGGGGATTTAACCATCCTGCAACACAGGCTTTCTGCAATGTTGCTTTTCGGCAATTTTTTGCAAACATTAGGGTTGTTGGACACTCAAACGTTGTGCAATCAGCAGTCGATGCAACTTGGTCGCTTGCAAAAATATTTTCGGGGCTGCTGTCCTGTTTTTACTCTGGTATGACTGAGCGATTAGTTCTGCAGCAGAATCATTGGTGCTGATGCTTCTCTATCCTTATATTTTCTCATTGCAGTGATCCTGTTCTGTATGGCTGCGTTCATTTTCCCAATTGGATTCTACATCAACGAGGTTGGAGGACAGCCGTATAAGCTGCCCAACAACACAGTGGTGGGCTCCTCCTACGTACTCTTCATTCTGTCCATATTCTTCACCATAGTGGGACTGCTGTTTGCCGGGAAGGTGTGCCTGCCCGGCTGACAAACTCCCGTTCTCTTTTTAAACGCATAAAAAAACCGCTACCACTGGAAGCCAACGTCGTTAGAGCGAACTCTCCTGCGGCAGAGCTGGAAGCATCGCCGAAAGCTGAGAAGTACTTGTCTTTCCCTCGCCGACGAATTGTCGTAACCGGAGCCAAAACCGCTGCAGTCCATCTGTGCATGTGTTTGTTCAGAGGCCGAGCAGGTGCAGGGAGCTCTGAAACGGCCCTCCTTGTTTTCCTTCGTGAACAAGAAGCAGGGCAGTGAACAGAAAACAGATTATAAAATGGCAAAAGTGACGTGAGCTTTCGAGGAATTTAAGGGGGCATTGTGAATGTCTGAGCTGTCATCCTATAAATTCACGACAGGCGACGGAGAGCTGTTGTTCTTCTCATCTGAACCATCAGGGACGATTTGCACACTGATGTTGTTTCGACATGTCAGGCCTGATAGCAGTCTGAGGCCCTGATATTGGCCAGCCAACCTCTGTATGATGTCTGTTCTTCCCCCAAGCACTGCTACAAAATAATATAAGCTACATTACTTTTATTTATATGATAGATTTGGAAGTGTATGTTTTAAAAGGCCAGCTTCTCTGCCAGTGCTATGTCAAGTGGATCATATTGCCTTGAGGATGGTTTACTGCAATGGAATAAATATAAAGTTCATGATACAAGAAGTCATAAAAATGCTATTTCTGAGTGGAATGTAAAATGGGCTATTAGCAACAGCTGCCCAAAGTTTGTAATGCTTGAGTCTGTGAAATGTGTCCGCACTGAAGGAAGAGGAGCTGTTAAAAGATGTCAGAGTTTTAAGCTTTTAACATTGTGAATAATCAGTGAGGAAAAGGTCAAGCCTGTTGTAGTTCTCTGTTAGTTTTACTAATCTTATTGATGTAGTAAACTGATTTTTCACCTTTTGTTTTTTTTTTTAAAAGAATATTTTATGGATTAAACAGTGCAAAGAATGATAGTCATTGACTTGTTTTATTCATCTGTAATGCTGATGCCTGTGTGTGTATCTGTGCCATTTTTTTAAAAAAATCACTGATGTTTGTAATTGTGCATGGAAGGTGTCATCTCATTAAAATTATGACAAGGGAATACCCATTCCCCCTTTTTTTCATGCTTTTTCTCAAAATAATGCTGTGTGCATCTATGATGTTTGA